GAGGAAGAAGAGGGGGGAGCAGGGGAGGAGGAAGAGGAGGGGGGAGCAGGGGAGGAGGAAGAGGAGGTAGGGGAGGAAGAGGAGGAATGGGAAGGAGAGGGGGAAGAGGAGGAAGAAGAGGAGGAGAAGAAAGAAGAGGAGGGGGACCAGGAAGGAGAGGAGGAAGGGGAGGGGGAAGAAGCAGAGTGGGGAATGAGGGAGAGGGAAGAGGAGGATACCGAGGAAGAAGAGGGGAAATACGAGGAGACAGGAGATGCAGAGAGTGGAAAGCAGGGAAGGCTGGGGGAAGGAGAAGAGTCCAACAAAGCAAGCAAAGTCAGAGGATGTGTGAGATACAGCAAAGATAAGGCGCACCCCCCAACGTTTCTCACTAACACAGAGGGGGAAGGGAAAAAACACGAGGTACAGAGGTTCAAAATGCCGGTGCGGTCAAAACAACTTTTAGAAAATGGGCCACCGGGTTCCAAAAAATTCTGGAATAATGTATTACCACATTATTTAGAATTGAAGTAACAAATTTGAAGTTGGAAAGTTTGTTAAACTTTTTAGATTTTTAAAAATTTAAATTTTAAATTTAACAACCTTTAAATTTAAAACTGTTGACCAGCCAACAGTTTGAGCATCTTACACGTAATAGGCATTTAATACGTTTTATTAAATTGCTTTTTTGTCATGGTTACTGTATGTGTGGTACAGTAACGACTGATAAAGACAACACAAAGCACTGGCAAATTTGGCTCCTCTTTAGTATTTGGTTATATTCTCCCCCCAAATTATAAATCTGTCACTAGGAAATATGAAAAGGTCATAGCAGATAATTAACATGATATATTCCCTAGTAAAGACAGATTTAGGAAATAGGAATATAGTATAAGAATGTTGCATTTATGCATATAAACTGGTCCCTTTAAAGATGGCACAGATCCTAAAGGGCTAGAAAAGCATTTCTTAGGAATTCTTTTTGATCTCTGATTATAATTTGCCTACTATTTAGAATAGTTTTATAAGGTGGATGGTATTGTAAAGCTGAAGTGAAGAATTCACATTTTTTTAAAAAGTGCTTCTTTTTTAAAAACCTTTTATGTGCCCTTTTTGCAACAATCTACAAGTGTCAGCTAGATTCAGAGCTTAGATCTTAATGTGATGTCTTTTAGTTCCTGTCTGGGCCAATGGCAATGTATCCCATGAAATAGAGGTGAACCTGAACATATATTCAGGAAGCATGTAAAACTTCTAAGTGCTTATTGGCCAGGCAGAGTGCCTCACTGGGGTTGAGTTTCCTCATGTGTAAAATGAGGTGGATTAGATGATGGAACTATAGTCCCTCCTAACCCCGATTCCTTTGTTCTAACGGGCTGATGTACTCCCATTGTGTTTGTCATTTGCACAAAAGCTGTTTAAGGAAGAAAAATTGCACTTTAAAATTAAAGGAGTTTTCTATAAATTATATATTGTTCTTTCCTCTTAAAAACTTACGAAGCGTTCTAATGTCTCTTGTCTTCTGTCATTCTGTATTTCTAAACTATAACTTCTGAGCTTTAACTGTACTATCGGAATCCTCATTCCCAGTGTCTATTATGTACCCTCAGTGTGTCCTTTGACTACTCTGTAATTCTGTTTGTTGCTTCTCAGAATGTTTCAAGTAAAATAAAATGTAGATGTATACCGTCAGTAGTTGTTTGTGGAAAGAGAAACATTAGGTATTGAATTTTAGAGACGCTAGATTTCTATTCGCGTATATTCCATCTAACCTTGCAATTTTCAGTATTTATCATACAGCTAGATCGTCTGATTGTTCTTTATTCGTAGCTCCCTTTTCAACTGATTTCCTGCCCCAGTCCCTTCCATATCTTGAGCATGAGGGATTTCTTATACTTTGAGCAAGGAGGATCTCAATGGCAAACTTCCTGTGAATTTTGTGTTGCCGGATCCTTTGCACATTTGATTCTCTATGAGAAAGAATATGGGGGGGGCGGGGACTAGAATACAAAGAGAAGAAACTCTTAGGAGCAACTGTAGATTTTGTTTTAGCTGCAGGGATCTCTGGTTATTCCCCCTAACTAACCAAACACACTAATTTGGCATTGCAGGGTTCTACCAAATTCTGCCACATTCAGTGAGTGTCAGTGGAATGGAATTGGTACTTTGATTTAGCGTGTACAGCTCTGTGTTGTTAATGCTGGGGCCCAACATGGTTATTTAAAAAGCTGACTTAAAATGATTAACTGAGATGAGTGACAGAATTAAGTTCATAAAGGAGAAGCCTTCAGGGAGAAAAGAAACTCTTACCCTCAGGTTACTAATGTCAGAGGGGAGACCTCAACTAGCCAGCAGTACTGAAATGGTGTTCCGAACGTGTGCCCATCTCATTATTAGAACTGGTCTAGAGAACCACTTTTAAACAGCATTCCCTTCCCATTTCTTCACATTTCCCTGGCCAACGAAAGTACCCTGTGCTCTTTTCGAAGCAGTAGCTCTCTGGCAGGCACAGTGTTCTGGTCAAGAGCATGAGCCTCCTCGTTTTGAGATGCAAATTAGCACTTGGTTAAACAGAACTGAGTAACTGGCTCCTTCTTTATTGTCACCATCTGCTGGTTGATGGGGCTTTGATTGTAGTTTCTCACTGGCTGTTACTGAGGCCCGTGTGCAGTGTGTGTGTAGAATCCGTTGAGTTCTAGTTTCAAATGAGGACTCTGGCAGAAAACTATTTTCTGGTAAGCGACAAAGGAGTACCACAGAAACAGCTCTTGAGGTGAGTGCAATGAAATATTTTCTGTTACTTCATTATAGAGGTAAACTTGCTATACACGTGTGTATTCAAGATGAAATGCAACCATAGCGGAAGGAGCTGTTCTTCCTTCTTCCTTCGTTCTTTCCATTGCACCTGACCTGTAAGTTAATATTTGGTACATACTCTTCATTCAACAAATAAGCACGTACCAAGCACCCAGAAGGGAATGGAAGCTTTCCCAAATCAGGGAGAGCTCAAGAAATGAGTGCTGCTTACACTCAACCTCCTGTGGCCCTTTTACCTGTCAGGGACATCAGGTAGGTGCAGATGACTTGAACACCAGGTCAAAAGAGTTCCTGTGACCCTGCCTTTAACTGTGGCTTAACAGTGCCCTTTTGTTACCTGATCTCCCCGGTCTCCCATGTTCTTTTTAGCCAGGGCTACCCAAAGATAAAAATAGGGTCTGAAAACAAATCCATGGCGTTCCTTCATGAAGTCCCTTAATTAAGAAGATGGTGGTTTTATGCCCTGAGTACGGCGAGAGTGAGATACAGCTCCTGATCTCAGGAAACTCACGGCTGTTTATATAGGCTGACCAGAAGCTTCACACATACCAGAGAGCGTTTCAGGAGTGGCACTCGGAGAAGGACCAAGGAAGGGCTTCCAGGGAGCCACAGGGAAATGTCAACTGAGTCGTGAGAAGTCAAAGCTAGCCACACAGGCGGCTGAGGCAGGGCCAGAGGGCTTTCCCGGTTGACAGCAGCCCTGAGACCGTTTCAGTGTGATTGCAACTTAGAGTATCTTTTGGTTCTGGATAGAGAGGCGGAGGGCCTTATGTGTTTCTGAAAGACATTGAACAGGAAGAGTAAGGTGATCACACTTGGGCTTTAGTAATGGTCTGGCAGCAGCATGCAAGGTGGTTTGGAGAGGAATGGGACCCAAGCCAGGGGTTAGGAGGCAGCTCGAGGAGAGCAGACAGAGACTAGGACAGTGTGGACAGAGAGTCGGGGACCCCTGTTACCAAGAGAGCTGTAGGGATAGAATCGGAAGGCTTCGTAAAGAGATGCCACCTGGAGGGAGGGAAAGGCCAAGCTTGTTTCTGTGTGAAGAACAGGTGGAAGGAGCGCCACTGGAAGGGTGAGAATGGAGGAGTAGGGGCAGGTTTAGGAGGCTGCTGGGCGCTTGTTGATCCGGGACCCGTGCAGCAGACAGATTCTTGTCTGGGCTGGAGCTCAGGAGAGATGGCTGGGAATCACCAGCTTTTATGGGTCCTTGAAACCATGGAGTGGAGTGAGAGGCAGCATTCATAGTACGAGAAGAAGAGAACCGAAGACAAAGTTTGAGCAAACCTCAATAGGTAATGGGGAGGTTGAGAAAGGGAAGTCAGAGAAGGAGGGCAGGGTTGGGTCACTTTCTAGAAAAGAGGGGTGCTGCCCAAGCCCAGGAAGGCATGGTGGTGGGCTGCAGAGAGGGCTGGGTGAGGCCTGGCCGAAGGCTGGCCAGAGCCCACGTTGCCAGCAAAGAGGGAGTTGCAGGAAGGCCGCCTTAGAGTCAGGGACTCTGGTGCCCTGAGGAAAAACACCTTAGACTTGCACTTGCTGCTACTATATGCAAGGGCACATAAGCACAGGATGTTGTTGAAGTGAGCTGATCAACAGGAAGAGCCTGCAGTGCTCTCGGTCTCAGCGTGGGGGGTGGGGGACAACTCTGAGGGCAGCTCTTCCGGTCTGCACCTATGTGAGCAGAGCCAGGAAAGAGCCTGGGCCCTGGCGCCCGGTCAGCCTGGAGTCAGACCCCAGCCCTTCATGGATTAGCTGTGTGGACACCTGGAAATGCTTTTCCTTTTTTAACCTGAGTCTTACTGATTTCTTTTTATAAAGGGGAGGGGTCTTTGGATAGTTAAATTAGTTAACACATGAAACATGTTAGGGGTCCTCATCAAATGGTAGCCCATGTCCCTCTAATTATCCCCTCTGACCACATCAAGTCAGGTGCAGAACTACCCTCCATCATCTCCAGGTCACTGACAAATGTGCATGGGTTTAGTTTTGTCTACCTGACTTTTTAAATCCAGCATAGCTGCTAGCCCCCCACCCCACATTGGCTTATGGAGGTAGATCTGTGCGAGCGGAGTGAGTAACAATAATGATAAACCCCTTAAATATGGGATAGAGTGAAAGTCTGCACACCATATGTGGGTCCAGTACTGCCCCTCGATGGTTGAAGCGTGATGAAAGGCTGATGGTATGGGACAACAGATTTCCCTGTGTCCTAATGTTTTTATCAAAATAGATTTAAAAATAACTCACCTGTAAAGAGTAAAACTGCCTACCAGCAAGAAGTTCTGTATCCTCAGCATTATGGCCACTTTCACAGGCCTGTTTATCAGAGTCATACTGGAACAGATTTGGTGGCAAAAATACCAGATTAGGAATGAACTAAGGTATTGGTACATAGGAGAAGTTTAGAGATTATAAAGTAGTGACATTCGAAGGCAATAATTTGGAGGTCACCCTGGGAGCCCTTAGGTATAATCTGGCTTGCAGACTCACTTTGTTTGGTTACAGAGTGATTTTGGTAATGTTTGAATCCATTGCCAGCACTGAAATACTGGGAAACTTCACACTGTAACTGTTTTCCGGACATGACTTGGACCTGAGGTAGCACTTGCCCACAGTCCCGCCAAGGCGCCCCTCACTTGCCTGTCGTCCTAGACTGCTCCCTCTTCCCTTGCTTGGTCTAGCTGCAGGATCTCCTGGCAGAGAGTAAAGGGAGCTGCACAAGAGGGTAGAACAAATAAGCGAACACTTTTAAATCAACTATTTTGTAGTGGTAAGATCTGGGACATTATGGCAAAACGGTATCCAAGCATCTTGGTTTTTGTTTTTGTTTTTGTTTTTGTTTTTTTGATGGCCCTCAGTGTACAATAGGGAGTCTTAAAATCACTTATATTTATATGCAGATGCTCATTGCTTGTGCTATTTTCTCTGTAAATAATCTTTTTAATTTTGATACAAACTCTCCAAGGTAGGTATTGCTGGTGTCACTTTCCTGTTTTACAGAAAGACTGTAAGGTGACGCTGCTTAGGCCATGATTGATGGTGCAAAGCTTGGAAAGCAGTACTTAGGTCTTTGTACTGAATGCCTTCCTGCTCTCTCCTTCTGCCTTTGTGAGTTCTAGTGTAGTATAAAAGTAAACTTCCATGTTAGCCCTTCTTGTCCTAAGAAACCTTGAAACTGAGATTTTAAATATATACACTTCCCTACTTGGTGTTATGTAGCTATAGTTTAATGTTCTATTAACCTATTTGGAAAACACGGTCTACCCTGTACGACATGGAGGCATCTCATAAATCGAGAACTGTAGCACAAAATTTTTACACTTTATAGCCCCTTTAAAAAACTTGTTTAAGACTCTTTACTGAGATTAGTAACATCTAGAAAAGAGCCTCTCTCATGCGTGTAGAGCTCAGTGCATTTTCCACAAAGTGAGCATGCCCGTACAGTCAACACCCAGATCAAGGGAAAGTGCTTCCCAGTGGCACCCCTTCAAAGCCCCTTCCATGCATTTCCCGTCCCCCCAGGGTGACCACTCTGCCAACTGCTGAGAGCCCCTCTAGTTTTTCAAGCATGCAGTGTAGTCGTATTCTTAAGCAACCTGAAACATCGTGAGGAACGTCAGGGTTTCTTGGTATTTGCCCATAAGAAATGTGGCCCAGGGGCAGACCCAGGACTGTAGCAACCTGTGCTGTGCCTGACCTTTGTGAGAACCAGGCCCGTTCACTTCGATACTGTGGCCCCAACATGGGATGGGTTTCCGCTGACTGTTCTAGACTACTTAATGTCTTACATAGTTCTGGTGACAAGATTGTATTTAAACTTTGCCCTTTCTCTTTGTAAAATAACAGTATTCTGCCAATGTCTCCTAAATTGTTTCAGTTTGAAGGTAAGTACTGTGATTTAAAGTAGTAGTCCAGATGTGAGTAGATTAATTCTCAATGTGCTTAAGTGCAAAGTTCTGCAGTTGATGTGATTATCTAGTGAAAATGTTTTCTAAGAGCTTTCTCAAATTTAGAAAATGATACCATTCCAGCAGTTATTCTTTGTTACAGATTTTCATAAAGTTGTGAGTAAATTTATAGTTCATTATAAAAAGAGATGAGTGTTTTGCTTATTTCTAAAATAAGATAAAACGTCATCTTCCTTTTTATAATAGCATGATATTGTCCTGTGGTTACATTAATATCTTCGTTAACTAGCATGATTGGAGTTGACTCAGGTGCTAAACTAGCAGAATTCTTCAAGAGAAGAGGACTTTGCTGGAACATAGCTCACCGACCCCTCCCTGTGGGGGAGAGATGCAGAGTCTGAAATTCTCTGTCTCGGGAGCACTGTTCTTTCCCACTGGCCTTTGTTTTATATACATTCATGAATATATCTATCAGCCATAAATCTTAAATCTAGTAATCTTGCTTCCCATTCCCCTCCAAAGTAGTCTCTGATCGTTTTACCTTCTTGTATGTGCTTCTGGCCAGGCATAATATACAATGTAAGTCACTTAGAGGGGAAGTTACACAGGGAAAAAAAAGAAAGCTTTAGAAATTACTGGTAAATGGTAGCTACCTCATAGTTAACCCTATCTAACCTTAAAGTGCAGCATGTCCTTCAATGTAGCTATCTACCCTGGTCCCCTGTCTTCCTCTCTCGCCTTCCCCTCCCATGTGTACCCCTTGTGACCTTTGCTTAACCTAAGTCAAGCCCTCCCAGCATAGCTGCCTAACTGCCGAAACTCTTAAATTTCCAGGCTTCCCTTCCGGATTGCTTGTCCTTAGTGACAACGCTGTAAGGGCCACACCATTAGTGCTGTTGGCCTGAGGGTGCCACTTATGTCTGTTACTGAGGTGTGAAATATAAACATATCCTCTCCCTAGCCTGAACTCTCACATTTGGTATTTTTGCCAGAAGAAAGGTGAGTTAAATATGAGAGGTGTTATTTTCAAAGCACCCACTAAAGATTATTTCCGGTGTCCAGCTCATCCTTAGCCAAACAGCAACTAGGAAGGTGACCACGAGAAGCTAGTTACTGTGTTGAAGGGATATAAAGGGGGTCTATCGTCTGAGGTAAACATGGCCGAGGTGAACTTTGTAAAAACATTCTTCAAGGGCGTAAAGGGCACTAATTACTTACTGCCTTGCCTATTTTGAGGGCCATTAGTGAAGTGCATAAATGAAAAGCATAAGAAAAAAGTCCAGTAAGGAGCCTGATCTCTTAATGACAAAAAATAAGCAGTATTCCACCCAAAATACGAAGCTGCAAAAAAAAAAAAAAACTCAGTTTAGAATAAAGAATATAACTAATATTTTCCACCTAGACTTAGTATTACATGATTTACTCTATCAAATCCATGGACAGACAGACTTATAATTTGGATTAGTTGGACAGGAGCCAGATAGACTTAAGTTCTGCCTCTGTTTCTCCCTCTGCTTTAAATAACCAAGAGCAAACCATTTAAACTGCCTAGGTCCCTTTATCTTCTTTCTGGAATGTAAGTAATTATACTTAACTGTCTTTCATGGATATCAGTGAATTGTACTTCTGAAGTGATTTTAAATCCCTGTGTTTTGGAAAATGAATGTAATATATAGATATGATTATATTATAATGCTACAGTAGAAAGCTTTTTAACTTCCCTAAAGTTTAAAAGCATTCTTTTGAAACAGCTCAGAAAGCATATTTAGGGTTTTTTTTTTTTTCCCATTTTAACCTTGTAGTAGACGCTAATAGAATTTTGGGAATCCTAGTCATTGAAAATGCTGAAATGGATCAACGTGCCGAAAAACCTTGTTTAATATAGTAACTTGATATGCCTGATAGGTTATGCAGCATTTTCTTTGCTTTCGGTGTTTGAATTCTTATTCTCTGTGTTCTTTGAGATGGTATAAATTATTTATGACCACAATATCAAATCTGTTTTTTTTTTTTAAAGAAAATCTTACTTCTTCTCTGATTATCAATTTTGACACAGGATCGCGAATTTTCAGAAGATGAATTCGAGGACGTGGATGAGGAAATTGATGAATATCTGAAAGGCAAGAAGAACATACCAACGGATGAAGCCAAGGACAACTCAGTTGAAAAGGTATTGATTGACACCACTGAAAAGGTATGATGATACGCGCTTAAATCCTGGGATCCTGCCTAAGAGCAAGCATATGGGTTCCATGGTCTCTGCAGAGAGCAGACTGCGGTTGCCTTTGGGAGCAGAAATACTTCTCTGAGAAACTTGGTTCTTGTGCTGTAGGAAAAGCTTTAGCAGATCTTTGAATCAGGCACACTTTGTTTCTCACACCCTTTCCACACTTCTTGGTAGCATTCTGTTCCCCGCTTGGGTGGAAATGAACTGATATGGGTCAGTACAACATACTGTTGAGAAATTAACCGAGAAGTTCAGCACTGGGTCCTTAAAATGATGAAATTATAAAGTTAGGAGCCCTCTACTGGCGGCAGAAATGGGCCGTGTGTGTGCACACATACATGTGTATATTTACATGTATGTAGACAACTGAAAGCTGTTCACAGCAGTGTTTGAGGCTGTGCTCAGTGCTGCGTAAATGCAGTGTAGAAGAAAGGAATTGTAGGAGGGAAAGGAGGAGCTATAACTGAAGAAAAGGAAGTCATCCTAAAAGTGGCGCTAGGAATGGCAGAAACATCTCTTCCATCTGGCAGTTTTGTCCAAGACGGACACTGCTAGGAGACAGTTGGTAGGTTTGAAATCATTCATTTGCTAACGCTGCTCTGGGTTAATTTCACAGGTAGGGAATTCAGAAACCCAAACTGAATGACGCCATGTCGATTTGTTTCCATTTTCACTTTTTGTACCTCTTGCACAGAGCACTGAGTCCATCATACCTTCTTGTTGATGAATCACTGGCATCTTTGGTCTGCTCAAGTCCTCCTCATTTAAATTGATTCCCTTTTAGTTCTCCTTTTCCATAACACAGACAACCGCTGAAACATGCTCGTCCTTTGATTTGAATGTGTACTTGTAAACCTGTGTTGTTTCATGTGCATGTATTTTTCATTTACAAAATGGGGCTGTGCTGTCGAGATCATTTTCTTCCTTAATTCCTTTCTCAAGACTCCTTCCTCACACTGAGGGAAAAAAAAAAAAAGCTTCTAGCAGTTATTGTTTTCTTTCGGAGGGTAGGAAAGATTTATAAGGAATATTTATGAGTTCCAGTTTGGGTGGTCCCTGAAATTGTTTAACATAGAATAACTGAATATCCAATTTGACAGTATAAAATGTTGAGCCAATTCATATACCAGCTAATGTTCCTGAATCATCTTTGAGTAAAATTCTTGAATCATACAACTTTTTGGAATCAAAAAACTTGAAACTAGAAGGGACGTTAGCAATCACTCAGCATCTGAGGCAAAAGCCCAGCAAAATGAGGCAGTTGTCACATGTTTATGTTGTTAGCTAGAGGCTGACTCGAGAGCCCTTGCCTAAAACCTAGATGATGTTTTCCAGCCCATCACAATTATGTTTTTTATTATATTGCTTCTTTATCATTTATAGGACAAGAAAACCAACCATGAAGAACGGGCTATTTGTGAATACAATGAAAATCCAAAAGGTGTGAACACATTTGACTTCAGTAGGCCAGCTACCTTAACATACACACATGCATGCATGCATACATATACATACATGTGCACACATATGCAGTGGTTGAGGCATTAGAGCTTACACATGTGTATTTTATTTCTTGCTTTTTACTGTCACATGAGCCTCATAGCAATCAATGAAATACCTGACCCAGGTGTACTTGTTCTCATTAATCGTCACTCACAGCTACTCACTTATCAGTGTTAAGTGGTTCAGGACAGCCTTTTCACTACCTTTTTTTTTTTTTTTTAACTTTTCAACCAGTAGTATTAAGTTGAGCTTTTGTCCCACATCTCAATTTATATCTCTGGTGGGCACTGCCAGACCCCGTTGCTAAAGACCAGGCTGGCCTGGAGCCACGGCTGACCAGCCCATTATTTCCCCCAGGGCTCAGACTTGGGTCTTTCATCTTATCATGGACATTTAAGGCAGGTCCTTTCCCAGGCCTTCCTGTTGGTGTCAGAGAACAGGTGCCACAGAATTGAGGGGACAGTGATTACCCTTGAGACCTACATTTTCTACAGCCAAATCATCTGGGTTTTGTTGTGCAACCCTTACATTATGTTTCCACACCATCACATCAAAGTGTGCTTTCTGCTGTGTCCTCATTAAAAATAACCATTCATAGTAGTGGATATCTGAACTTGGGCAGGAGGAAGAGTAGTTCCTTCATACTTTTTTCCTTCTAACTTCAACAGAGTAGTAAGTTTTAGAATATTTGAAGCAAAATGATAAAATATAATAAGTATTCTTAGCAACTAATTAAAAGTAAGATTTAAGTAGTTGATAATATAAAATTATAAGAATGCATATTACTTCAGGAGTATACTCATGAATGCTTCATGAGTATACTTTAAAGATGATTATTCAGTTATATAACTGGGTCGATTTGAAACACCATGTCCGTATGAGTACAAAGAATTTAATTATAACTAGGTTAACTAAAAAGAGTAATTTTTATTTTATGGAAGTCTTTCCTAACTCTCACTGTTACCTTTGTAGCTGTATTTGGGTACTGGTCATGCAAACATCTCCAACATTGGTCAGGTCATTCTGGGCTTTTTGCCTTAACTCAACCTTCTAGGAAGTAGGTTGTATAGACCTTGTCTACTGCTCCAGTGGTAGTGGTACACTCTCTTTAGTACTCCCCCTAAGTCAGGCTTGATAGAGTTGCACTGAGGGCATCAGGACTTTTCTTTTTCTCATTACTTAGGAAAACATAATTCTAAATATATTCTATTGTAGGAAACATGTGTGATCGTGCAAAGAGCAGATCTTCTGAAGTCCTGGAAGGCAGTGAATCAACACCAAGTAAAGACGTCAAAAAATCAAAGAAGGTAAGTGAAACTTATTTTTCATTTAGTGTTAAGTATTGAATTGCTCCTTTTACCTTTTATATAGTGATCCACATAATTTAACGCCTTAATATGAGCTTTTATGGCTCCAGAACATGTGACGAATTTCAAGTGTTGTTTCGTGTTTTAATATAGCTGTTTATTTGCTGGGTTTTAGATGGAGTCATGTGACCCTGCCAGAGTTTAATAGCACGTTCCTTTCAATGATCCCATTCATAGAGATTCAGCTTACAGGAAAAGATACACAAAAGAACTTTCTTGCATAAATTATGAGTGTAATCATCATGAGAGTCTAGAAGAAAGTAAGGCAAAACCTAGAAATAGGATAAATGCAAAAAATAAGGATGTTACATGCTTAGGAAATGTGACCACAGGCTACGTCAGCCTTTCCTGCCGAATACCTGTTTTGGAGTTAATAGTCTGAGAGATATGGTTCTTCTTCTTGAAAGTTACTCTTCCCACTTGCCGGAGAACTTTCTGTAATCATGAGAGCACATTTCCAAGTTGAAGCATTAGGAGGAAATGTGGAAGAAAAGATCCATGAAAGGCCTTAATTCCTGTTCGGCCTTTGGGTCTGGGCTTCAAGTAGTTATTTCTACATAGAGGACTTCTGTGACCAGCTGCACTTAGATAAATTATGTCCCATTACTGTCCTCTCATGTAACCCCCTTTTCTCATCCTTCTTTGTATTTATCGTAATTGGCAATTTCACAGTGAAGTGTACATTTATTTGCTTTATGACTCGCTCTCTCTCCACTGGCCTTCCGCTCTGTGGGCCAGAAACTATTTTCTGTTTTGCATTCCAATGGATCCTTAGCAGGCAGCACAGTCCCTGGTACACGGGACATGGTAAATGCCTAGGAAATATTTTTGGTTGATAACGAACTATAAAATGTAAGGAGGTAAGAAAGAGGCGAGGAGGAGGGTAAAACCAGGAGCAGCCCTTAGAGTAGTAAACAGCCTGTCTCTTGCCACAGAAGTTTTCAAGCGAAAATTTTGGTACAGGTCCCGGGTTGTTGTTTATCTTTTACTAAAAATTACTTCGTGAGTATTCTTACTTTATAAAAATTGCCTTATGTTTAGAGATAGCTGTGACCTGGCTCAAAGGATACTCTCAGAATTACTCTCCTTCTTAGAATTATAATGTGTGTCGTGAAGTGTTAGGAACATTCTCTGTCTAGTAGAAAGGAACATTTAACAGATACTCTACTACATAGCGATCCTGTGAAGACTTTTTTCCAATTATAAGAGCTTAGGGAAAGACTCTGGAAAAGAAAGTCAGATTTGAGGAAGAGAGATGAAAAGTAAAGGAGTCAGGAGACAGAAGAACCTAGGAGGAAAAGTGAAGTGAAGCAGCAGAAGAAAATATTCGAAACACATCTCAGACTGAATGAAAACATGTGTTCTAGAATACACGATCGAGTTTCAGGACTTTTTCAGGCTGTCCAGTCTTCAGCATGGCATTGCCCACTGGTGGGAAGATTTGGATACCCAGGACTAGGAGAGGGGGCTGAGCCAGGGGAGAAATGCCATGTGGGAGGCGGAGAGGCCTGCTCCCGAGCAGGCCAGGCAGAGGGCCCGAGCACTGGCACAAGTGGACAGGACAGATGGGAGGTCAGGCCAGGGGACAGTGGGCTGCAGGTGCCAGGCTCAAGGATGTAGTCTTTAACTTGGATTCTGCTCAAATTCTCATTGATACATAATCGAAGAATATACTTCAGTAAATGTACGTGTCCTTGGTTAAAAGAAATAAAAAGTAATGAAAATCATATTTAAAAAGTCAAGTAACAACAAATGTATTTCTACTTAAAGAATATACTGTTATTCTACATATTTTAAAAAGGACATAGATGATTTAGGTGAGATTTTCTTTTAGTTAATGCCACGTGACCTTTTTTAATCTAGAGTGTCTCTAACCTTTTTATACCATCCAAGCCAAACAAATCAAAACTTTTTAAAGCTTGGAAAGTAAAAGATGCATTATCTCATATCAAAAGAATATTTAGACAGACATTGCAAAGATAATCCAAAAAAGGAAAAGAAGGAACTGTACTCTTGGCAGCTACAGAACAGAATTCACCTCTGAATTTTGTTTTGGTGATTTTAGATGTTTCAGATCGGCAGGTTAGGACCTATGATCTTAACTGATGGCAGAGATCTTTTAGTAGGTGAATGGTATATCTAGAAATTCCCAGATACCACTTTTCTCCACAGTTAGCCACTAAGAAAAATGTGTTATTGGCTTCATTTCCACCTAAGGTAGCTAATATAAAAGGGTAGTAAACTTTTCAGCTATTAAAAATAATTTCTTTGTTATAGAGGTAGTTTATTCATGTATTTATTTAGCATATACTAATTGGTTATCTCTTAATGTGCCAGGCACAAGGCCAGAGACTGCAGATACAGAGGTTAAAGTTCGAGTGCCTTCCCTCAGAAACTAGCTGCAACATGGCAGATCCCCTGGGTAGTTCCAATGCCAGTTCAGTCAATAGATTTCCTGTTCACTGTCACTACCATAAATAAAAGACGCTGAGATGAGAGTGTCTCCACCAAAAAAGTATGCTTGTGAATTCTTGCCTTTCCTAGTTACTGCCTTTTCTCTGATGGTATGCTTTGTTCCCCATTTCAAGTTACAAATGAGCATGCTCACTTCAAGTACACAGTTAGCCAGACTCTATATTGTGAGGAAAACTGGAGGTAGATTATACCCGTGGTCTCCTGTCATTGTCTGTTTTTTTCCAAAGCTTAAAACCTGAGACAGTCTCAGGTCACCCAATAATGACTCCCCTGCTTTTTAAAAAGAGCTATATTGAGATATAATTGACATATGCTAGATGACACATACTTAAAGTATATATTTGGATTACTTTTGACATGTGCATACACATGTGAAATCAGAAAACCAGTACCGTTATTGGCAGAGGGTTCTTTGTGCCTCTTTGTGATCCCTGTCTATCCAAACCACTGATCTTCCTTCTATCATTGTACATTGTTTTATAAGTTCTAGATTTTTATAGAAATGAAATCCTAGGGGCGCCTGGGTGACTCAGTGGGTTAAGCCGCTGCCTTCGGCTCAGGTCATGATCCCAGGGTCCTGGGATCGAGTCCCACATCGGGCTCTCTGCTCAGTGGGGAGCCTGCTTCTCTCCCTCTCTCTCTCTGCCTGCCTCTCTGCCTACTTGTGATCTCTGTCTATCAAATAAATTTTTTTTAAAAAAGAAATGAAATCCTACACTATGTACTCTTTGTTTGGCTTCCTTTGTTCAGCTTAATTGTTTTGAAATCCATCCATACATGTATCAATAGTTCATTCCTTTCTCTTGCTGAGTACTATTCTGAGTCAATTTTTTATATGGTGACGGTATGAATTGAAGTTCTTTTTTTTTTTCCCCGCTTATGGGCATCTGATCATTCTAGCACTATGTGTTGAAAAAAGATTATCTTTTTTCTACTGAATTGTCCTCACAGATATCAGTCAACTTTTCCATGTGTGGGCACATTTCTGGAGTCTGTATTCTGTTCCTTTGATCTGTTTATCTTGTGCCAGTCCCATACTGTCTTGATTACTGTAGCTTCATAGTAAGTCTTGAAATCAGGAAGTGTTACTCCTTCACCTTTGTTATTTTTCAAACTCGTTTTGGCTCTTCTAGGCCCTTTGCATTTCCATATGAAATTTTAGGATCAGTTTGTCAATTACTGGAGAAAAAATGCCTTCTGGGATGTTGATTGGAATTGCTTGGAACCTACAGATGGATTTGAGAAGAGTTAAGATCTTAACAATATTAAGTCTCCTAACTCATGAAGATACTTCCCCATTTATGGATGTTTTATATTTTTCTTCGCAATGTCTTATAGTTCTTAGTGTACAAGTCTTACACAGATTTTGTCAGATTTTTTTATGTCTTCTGTTTTTTTATTCCGTGATTAACTGGTTAGAAGTTTGTCAATTTTATTGATCTTTCCAATGAACTAGTTTTTGGTTTCATTTACTTTTCTGTATTGTTTTATATTTTATGTACACTCTAATCTTTATATTTTCCTTTCTTCTACTTTCTCTGGGTTAATTTGCTCTTCTTTTTCTGGTTTCTTAATATGGAAGATGAGGTCACTGATTTGAGACTTTTCTTATTTCTTAAGGAGGCTTTTTGTGCTATACATTTTCTCTGAAGTACTTGAATATATTGTGTTTTCATTTTCATTCGGTTCAAAATATTTTTTCACTTCTTCTTCGAGTCATGGGTTACTTAATTTCAACATATTTGGTTATTTTCCATTGAGGTTTCTGATATTAATTTCTAATTTAATTGCATTGTGATTAGAGAACATACTTAGTATGACTTGAGTCCTTTTAAATTTATTGAGATCAGTTTTATGGCCCAGAATCAGGTCTGTCTTGGTTAGTATTCCATGTGCACTTGAGAAGGTTGAGAAGCATGCTGTTGTTGGGTGGATTGTCTTATCAATGTAGTTGCTTCAAGTTGGTTGATAGTGTTAAGTATTTCCTATCCTTCCTGATTTTCTGTCTACTTGTAATATCTATTATTGAGGAAGGGGCATTAAAATCCCTAAATGCCACTGTGGATTTATCTGTTTCTCCTTGTACTTCTATTAGTTTTTTCTTCATGTATTTTAAAGCTCTTATTAGGTTCTAGAACATTTAGGATTGTTATATTCTCTTAATTAATTGACCCCTTTATCATGAAAGGACTTCTTTATCCCTGATAATATTTGCTCTGAAATCTGCTTGGTCTGATATTACATAGACACTCTAGCTTTCTTTTGATTAGAGTTATCATTTTGTATCTTTATTCATCCTTTTACTTTTAACTCATTTGTGATTTTATATTTGAAATGCATTTGATTTATGCAACATATAGATGGGTTTTGCTTTTTTATCTAACCTGAAAATCTCTGCCTTTCAGTTGGAGCATTTAGCCCATTTATATTTAATCTAATTATTAATGCAGTTACATTTAAATCGG